TTCCAAAAATTCCGTGAACAGGTGACAATACCTTTACATTCCTGAATAATACAAGTTTTTTACTCTTTGGCATGGGGCAGTGGGGATGTGGGCAAGTGTATATACCACGTGTCCTCAGAATTTTAAATATCAAGACTGGTTTATATCAAGCTCAGTATTAATGACTAAGATACTCCTTTCAAATGCAAAGGAATGCATCTTGATTCAGGACACAACAAAACTGCCTACTTTCAGGAATCTGAATGAATTACTCTATTGCCCAGCAGGTCATACAGTTTTGCCCAGATCTCAACCTTATCAAAACCGTAAGCCCTTCTCTGAAGGTCTCTGAAGTTGCCAGGACTTTCACTTTTTTTTTTTCCATTTTAATATCAGTTCAATATGGGGGCTGGGTTTGTATCAATCGACCCACTACGGACTTTTGAAACTAGGACAAGTGCCCTGGCAACATATTCAAGGTATCATGGCTACACCCGGCAGGCTTTCCTAACCACACACTTCTACGTTCTACCAACTTCGGTCCAAGGCATCACCACAGACCTGTTTCTCGATAATGACCTCTTCCAAAGAAGCACGTAAATAGCTCTAAACATAGAGCAAAGCTGGTTCTCTCACTTTATGGTGAATGTGCCTTGTTACAAAGACGTGCAGAATATGTGAGACAGTCTGATGATTTCACTTGATCCTTACAAAAACTCTATATTGTAACCCCCATTTTATAGATGAGGGTTGAGGCACAGAGAAGCCAAGCAATTTGCCAAAGGCCACACAGCTAGTAAACAACCCAGTGAAGCTGGCTCCGAAGTCCCAACTCTACCACACCTAGCTCTTCAAATCATGCTCCTACACCATGTACAATGGCTAAAATATATATTTCAAAGAGGAGTTTAAGCAACTAACCGGTGAAACCCAGTCCTTTCTAAGATGAAGAAAAAATAATCAATTCAAAAACAAGTTCATAAAATGTTTAAGCGATAAGGAGGAAATATTGTGCAAATGCTTTGCCTTCCCCACTAAATGCCGTTTTTCTATATTATCTTGAAATGTTTTCTAATGCCCTGGGCCCCTGGTGTGCATGCAGATGGTTTCTATTTCTAAATCTCCAAAGCTTTCAGGAATTTATTCCTAGACTTTGAAACCTGCTCACTTGCAACCTCCCCTCACCAATGGCCTTAGCTAGTCAAAAAACTCTTTTTTGTTGCTGTTGTTCAAAAAAATCGACTCTCTGGAAAGCCTGATTTTTTAATTTAAATCCTCAGGTTGCAGAAGAAGGCAAATCCACTACAGGACTCTCTCTGCATCCATGTCGCCCATTTCTGACTTCCAGAGGGAAAAAAGAGAATGCGGTTTAATCAGTGTTGCAGTGTTGTTACTCTCGATGTGGTTCACTGGACACTTACCTAGATGTCTGTCTTAACAGTGATGGAGGGAACAGCATTTAACCGAACCTTCCTTTGGCAGGCTGGGAGCATCTGTGGCTTTAGGACTACCCCTCTATTTTCTCAAAAGAATGTATGTCACCTCCTGAGTTATATAAGCAGCCATGGGAAATTTAAGGAGGGTGGCTACCCTGACTCCATTCAATCCACTTTTGGGCAAATTCCCATACAGCGTCCCATTAAATTTCAAATATGTACATGGATGAGGACAGTAGTTAGCAATTGTGATATTTGAGCATCTCTGAAATTGAAATAATCTGATTTCTAACTGAATACACTGAAACCCACAGGTCCTGAATAATCAGCATGGGACAAAAATACAGCTCAATATACAGAAATTAGTTAGTGATGTCACTCACACGACTGTTGAAAATGCAGACTGAGAGGTCAAGAAGCCTCCGAGAGCTAGCTATTGTGCTTATGCACATTTTAGCCGTATGTGTGGTCCTTATTATCGTGAGAAAATAAGAATTATTCCCCCAACTTTACAACTGAAGAAAGTGAAATCCAGAGAGGCTTGAAGTCATTTTCCCACAGTGGTTTAGCCAGTGTCTATAGAGGTTTTTCAAACCCAATTACTTTCCACTGAGCTTAGGGAGTCTCCCCAAATGCACCTCCTCAAAACACACTGAAAAAAAAAAAATTCTGGGCTATTCACAATCTCAAAGCTATTTCTTGATTATCAATCTACCACAATTAAGCCAAAGAGTAAAGTTCATGTTGTATTGGCTTATCCGAAGTCTTAAGAAACTGGAATAAATGTAAAGAATTGGGTGGGTTGAGAAAACTTGATGAAATGCTAGATGCTGCACCCATTTCCCCCAAGAACAACTTGTCTACATCCTCCGTTTTTCCTCAGCCGTTAGGTGGCTTCCAGTTCACCAGCTAAAACGGTCATTAAGACGTCAACCTTTGATACAGAAGATGTAAAATGAGTAGGTATAACTCCATGTACGCTAAAGCCCTAAGCAAATCAGAGCATCTCTTTCCACAAAATCAGACACCAAAAGCAATTGCTCCTGACACACGATAGTTGACAGGCCTTTTCTGGATATTTTTCAAAATAAAATTTTAGAAGAGATCAGAAAAATAAGACAGAACAATTTTATTAAGTCCTTTATTTTGTAAGCATTGTTGATTATGGCTTTTTATTTCAGTGGTGCTTCGCGTGAGTTTTTAAGCCTGTAAATGAGCATCTTAATTTAAGATGTTCAAGGCAACCCATTTGTTTCACACTGCTAGAAATTGGAAATGAGTTTCTTAGGACACTTGGTAGGCTCCCCCATTCAAGTACTTATTTAGAAAGACCAAAAATTGATTATTTTCCAAAGACCAGTATTAAGCACTATAAAATAACCAATAACCATATAAAATTCTACACCAACTAGTTTAGCTTTATATCATTAATAAGATTTCATTTTATTGCCTATGTATACATAATGTGTATATATGAGCGTGTGTTTAATGTATATACCCATGTGTATTTACATGGCACCTTAAAACATGTTTGGATTTTGCAGGTTTTTACAAAACTACTGTGTATAACACACAGACATCCATTTTACAGTGACCAAATCTCCCCCAAACCTAAGTTTTCCATACTTTGCTTATCTTGACCATGGAATGAAAAATGGTTTTTAAACTGTTCTTAATGTGAATTTGTTTAAAAAAAAAACAAAAAAAACCACAAAAACTAAAGAGGCAGAACACATCACATCTTAGACTATGATATGATGTTTTCTAGTAAATCCAGTAAGATTATAAAGATGCCTCCAAGGACAGAGAGCCAAAGCCCTTAGAGCTTCCTCTGTTGGACACATTCAGATTAGGGTGGTCCAGCAGGAGAGAATGTGCTCTTCTGCATGCCATAATGAAAGCATGAGCACCAGTTAAAGACAAGAATGCCACTGTTGGTATGCTTATTGTTGGCGCATTTTGTCAAAAGGCCCATTAACTCCCTTTCTCCACCTGCTAAGGACTGTCAAAAAACTAGCTGGATAAAAGAATAAGGTAACGGATGATTTTTTCAAATTCAGTTTAAAAATTACCTCGCTTAAAACCCTAAGACTCACTGAATTGGGGCATATTGGTATATATTTGTTATCAAAGTCCATCTACACTCCAACTCACTTTTCCCTCAAAAACATAACCTAAAGGGAAAAAAAAATGAAAAAAAAAAAAAAAAACTGCTGATAGCCCTCTAAACCATAATAAGCCGCTCAACAGTAAGGAATAGAGAGGGTACCAGCCAGCTATCCTATCAAGTACAGGCCCTGATATATTAAATGTGATCAATATCAATATCCTTTTATTAAAAGGAACAAAAGAGATGACTTCCATTTGCCTGCTACATGTCATCCCACCAGGGTGTACTGAGAATACTAAACATAAAATTCTTAACGGGCCATTGCAAAAATATGGTATTTAGCTATTTTATATCCATAAGTCACCTTTTGGATGGTAGAATAAAGTAGCCCCCAAAGCCAAAAAGAAATCTAAATGGCCATAACCTAGATAATACACCATTTTTAAGAAAATCGACCAAAGGTATATGTATCATGGCTTCTGTTAGATAATGCCAAAAAAAAAAAAAAAAAAAGGAAGCATTATGAATTCAATCAACCATCTTCACCCCAACAGCCCTGGTTGCCTTCTTCCTCCTTTCTCCCCATCAGTGATTTCCATCTCCATGGGGCTGGCCTTTTGGGATCCCTAGTGAAACAATGAGGCAGGAATCAAGAGAAAACAGACAGGCTTAGGATTCTGACAAGGTAACCATTTTCTCTGCTCTGGGTTTCGTAGGCCATCTTGTTCCTATAAACGCCAAAATGTCTTAATTTCTCCCAAGTAGTGACACTAGGGGCAGATAGCCACTGTCAGTTTTTGAAAGCCATGTCCCTTCATTAAAGGACCAGCAGCAAAAATCTGTCAAATGGTTAACTGATGCAAATCGAGGGCCACCATCACTGCGGTGCAATATGTTACAGAAAAAAAGAACAATGGACAGTACTAGAAAGGAAAAGAGCAGTGTTCGGCCACGAAAATATTTAATGCACAGTTTGCTCTCATCACCAAGGGCAATCTTATTTTTCGTCAGCTGAAATCGCTAAGAAAGCAAAAGACGAGAGGTAACCTGAAAAAGAAGAAACACACACACACGGGGGGGGGGGGGGGGACTGTCATTTGTGTCCAAGGATTTCACGCCACATTTAGGGCAAACGCCTTTGTTCCTCGGCCTCGGAAGGGAGCGGGTGGGTGGGTGGGTGGGTGATGGAGAGAGATCAGATGGGGCTGCCGGGGCCCTCCACACCCTGCTCTCCGGCGCATGCGCGAGGCCGAGACAAAGGAATAGGTAATTACGGTCGCGATTCATTCATTTTGCCCGCAGTGCTGAGGCTCTGTTCGCCCCGGCTGCAATCCCGGGGAGGCTGATCCGCACCCCTGCAGCAAAACGACCGCCTCGATGCGACTGTTGGGTTTTAACCCCCGCCATTACACGTGCTCGTGGCCTCGCGGGACGCCGAGGTGTGTCAACCCTGTTCAAGGTACTAAAATACGCACCCGTGAGCGCGGTGCTGATTTCGGAAGGGTGAGGATTACACGGCAAAGGTTGTCCACGGAGTTCGTTTCCAGGCGGAAATGTCTCTGGGGAAGCAGATAAGGAGCCCGGCCGAGCGCTCGATGAATATGCATGCAGAGAATGCGGTTTGTCAGCCGCGCGTCGTGCGTGCGAACGGATCCAGGGATTCCGCAATTTTTATTTTTCGGGGGGGGGGGGCGTGGGGAGGGAGACAGGAACCGGGCGTCGGGTTTCAGCGTTAGCGCTTTCGGCAAGACCTGCTAAGCCCCAAGCCTTCGCTCCCGGCGGGGCTGGGCCGTTGGGGACGGCGCGCTGTCAGGCTCAAGACCACACCCTCGCGGCCGGGGCATCTCTGGGCCCGAGCCTCGAAAAAGTAGCTCCGAGATGGCCCACAGGTTGGCGGAAGGCAATCCGGCCACGTCCGAGGCTGTGGCTCTGACCGGCTCAGACGTGCCTCAGGAGGCAGCTGCCGTGGGAACCTCGCGCCCCTTGGCCACCGCAGGCCACGATTCAGGAGTCCCCCGGGTCAAAGGACCCCTTTGAGAAACCAAAGAGGCGCCTCCCTCCTTCCGATCGCACCAGACCCCGTATCCTTCCCCCCCCACTCCCCCCCCCCCATCTTCTGCCGCGGCGCCCCGCGCACCGAGCGCTTTCTTCCGGGCCGTGAGAGGTTCCGATGACAGACCCGCTCCGTTCAGCCCCACAGAACCGTCTCCCCGGGACTCAGGGCGTTTCAAGCGTTTCGCATTCGACAATCTCCTCCTTAAGGGCAGCTTCCCTCCCGCCACCCACCCCCAGCTCCGTTTGGCAGACTCGCCACCCCCACCTCCTTCCCACCCTCCGGGAGGCTGGAGCCACCCACCCTGGGCCCCCAGCACCCCGAAGGGCGACGGGAACCTCGCGGAGGGCCCCCACGCTGGGCGCCGTCTAACCAGGCCCGCAGCGCCCCCCGCCCCGGCCGCGGCGCGGAGAGAACAAAGGGCCTCGAGGTGGGGCGGGGGCGCACAGAGGCCCCCGGGCAGCCGGCGCCCCGGGTCCGCGGGGGCGGTGGGGCCGCCGGGGCGCGCCTCCTTACCGGCTCTGGGTGCCTGTGCCGCCCCTGGGTGAGCGCGGTGCCGCCGAGGGGCCCGGGTCGCAGGCGTCGTCCGGCCGCTGCCTGGCCGCAGGCGGAGGCTCTCTCCCCGGCTCGACGGCGGAGCCCGGCGCGAGGAGCGAGTTGGAGCGCTGCCGCCGCCGCCGCCGCCGCTGCCGCTACTGCCGCCGCCGCCGCCGCTGCAGCCTCTGCATTTCTCGCGCCCGCGCTCCCCCTCCCCTTCCTGCCCAGCGCCCTCCCCCGGCGCGTCCGCCCGCCCAGCCTCCCGCCTCCCGCGCACCCCGCCCGCCTCCCTCCAGCCCGGCCCCGCCCGCCTCCCTTCAACTCCCCTCCATCCCGCTCCCCTCCCTGCGCCCCGGTGGTCCCCCTCCCCTTCCCCTCCCCTCCGCCCCCCTGCCCCTCCTGCCTGTCCTCATCTGCCCACCACGAGGGCTTCCCGCTCCCCCTCCCTCCCCCCTCCTGTCCTTTCCCGCGCCCCCCAGCCCTGCGCCGCCTCCCCTCCCCCGCCGCGCCAGGGCTGTCTGTGGGCCCTTCCCTCTAATCTCTCTCTCTCTCTCTTTCTCCCCCCCCCCCCCCTTGGAATGGTTGGATAGGAAGCGCTCGGTCTCGCTCAGTCTTAAGGGGCTGCCTCGAGGTGAGGAATGACGCCCCCGCCACCTGCTACCCTTCTCAGCACCCCAGTCCCGCTCGCGCGCGACGTCCGCCTGAGATTCCGATACCTGGACGCGCGCTGAGGTTGAGGGTGACCTGGTGGCTCCCCTCAGCCCATCAAGACAGATGTCCTCGGGGTTGAGGGTGGCTGCTAACTGCAGGCAAGTCTGGGCGGCGCCCCCGCGGACCAGACGAGCTGGGCAGGCGGCTCCTTCGCACGCTGGGCTGAGCCTGGAGTTCTGCGGCTTGGGACTAGCGCGACCGCCGAGGTCCACCTTAGTGGGGTGGGCGGCGTCCCCCTGCAAGGATGCTCTCGGGACTTGGGAGAGGAAGGAGAAAGGACAAGAGCCCGAGGAAAGGAACCGTCGGTGTTTTATGTCTGTGCTTGAAAAGAGGCAGCCAGTTCCCGGGAAGACTGGGTTAGCCGAGGCAACCCTTACAGGGCTGCCTAGAAGCGCACAGGTCCAAGCCTTGGCCAACTACGACGTGTCGGGTGGCTTGAGGCACCGCCACTTTAACACCAGGACATAAAATAACCGCCAGGGTGGGGTCGTATGCCCACCTTGCTTCTCTGTTGGCAAGAAGCAAATGCGAAAAATAACGTAACATGACAACGCTTACAACGGCAGCACTTTCCTTAGACAAAAGCCGATTTTACCTTCCCGCGACCATCCGAACCTTTGGAACTTTTATTTGCGGCATTTTGGCGCCCTCTGGCTGTGCGTGGATTGCTTTTGATTGAGTTGCAAGATCGCCTTCAAGGTGGATCTGCGCTCCTGACCTGTGCGTGGATTTGCGGGTAGGGTTGTCCTCCAAAATGACCAAATGCCACCATAGTTAAAAGGGAGGACGCCAAAGGCAAGTGCGTCCGCATTCAACTGAGGAAAGGTAAGTCCATTTTCAGTTAACAGGAAAAAACTTATCAGAACTTAACTACATTTAAATGAAGCAGGGTGCCAATGTCAACCCAATACTGTATTTTGCTAGAAGCTATGCAGGGGAAACACTAGACTATCGGACTGAACGGATATTTACAGTTCATACGTGACCACAACAAATTAAACACGTGCAAGCTGGAAATGTTCACATTTTAACCAAAAGGGGATAAGAAAAAAAAATGGTGATTTTTGTTTCTATGTAGTTTTTTTTCCTTTCTTTTCTTTTCTTTTTTTTTTTTTTGCCATTTAAATGAAATAGCAAAGAAGTAAATATAACACAAGAACAGGGAAGAAAATTACAAGTAGGGTTGCCTCCAAAGCATTTTATATATTTGAACATTTATGCTCAATAATTTCATATGTTCAATGTATGTTCCTCATTCCAGAACAGCATCTATGAGGCTATATGCCGGTTTTCTCAACCTCCTGTTTGGGGCAGGTAATTTTTTTATTTTGGATGGGAGAGGGGAGGAGCGGGGACTGTCCTGGGCTCTGTTGAATGCTTTAGTCTCCCTGTTGGCCTTTACCCACTGGTCACCAGTAGTGAGTATACGCGCGTGTGCACACACACACGCACACACACATAGACACACACTCTACCATCACCACCACCACTAACATGACGCCAGTTGGGACAACCAAAAATGTCTCCAGACATTGCCAAATGTCCCCAGAAATCACTGCAGGTTGAAAACTGCTGGACTATAAATTTTAGGTCATCTTGAGCAAGCCTCCAAGTTTTTACTTTATCAAATCAAATGATCATTTGCAATTTTATTAAAGCTCAAGGCATTTACTGAATGTATTTGTTAAGACATCTGAGTAGTTATTTCATTAATATTCAGTTTTTAGCTCTGTGATCTTTCAGACATATCCGTCATCTGAAAATTAGTAAATGTAAGTTCCTATTGTGTTTGCTTGAGAAGCCTCTGAATGTTATCTTCTTTCTATTTTCCCTTTGTCCATTTTTTCAAAAAAAAAAAAAAGAGAGAAAGAGAGAGACAATACAGAAAAAAATGTTTGTTACCTTCAGTGCTTCTGGCCAAATGTTCATGACGGAGAAAACAAGCCTTTCAAAGGTATGATTAGAAAACAGATCACAGGTTACCATAGAAATAAGAGGCAAAAGCTTACACCAATGAGACTGTGTCTCATCAATTTTATCTCCCATCAGATTTAGTTATCCTTTTAAAGGATTTCTTTTAGGAATTCTTCTTTAATGAAACAATGATGTAACTGGTTGATAGTGCTTTAATCCCAGAATTTGTAGACATGTATCAAATGGTGACCAAAATGTTACATCTCAATCCATTATTACATAAAATCCAATGTGGTGATGTTTTTAGTCTGACTTTTAGTCGTTCTTCTAACATCTTACATTTTTAAGGTGCATGCTCTTGAAAAATTTTTAAAAACACACACTTAGGGAATTCATGAATAAGCATTTGAAGCTCTGGAGTTTAAAAAACTTGTTAACATTAACTATTGTGGACATCACTAGCTGCTTAGATTATAAACTAATGGACTTGGATGCATACGTTAAAGGTGCAATTTATGACAAATTTAATTACCTGTCAACATTACACTCGTGAAAATAAAAACTGCTTTACTCTCCAAATGGAATGAATATATTTTAATAAACAAAGCTGCACTTCCTGGGTTGTAAAATGAATTCTATTGTCATTTTCAGTTGCCTGCATAATTTGCTTCAGTGAAGCATAACGTGCATTATGAAAATACTCAACAAAAAGACAAATTATTCAGTGACTACTGATTTTTCCTAAAAGATTTGCCCAAGAATTGCTTGCAATATAATGGACACATTGTCACTTAAGTTACTAGTCAGTTTCCAAGATCTTCAGCGTGTGTTCAGCTTTCCAAATTGTTATCGAGTGCATCAATGAAGGCGTCTACAAGAGATTAGTGTCTAGACCTCATGTCACCTCCAACCCTCACCCACCTCTCCTCTCTCTGGGCCTCTGAAATCAGCCACCCAGGCCTGGCATCTTCCTCACTTCCCCTTCTTTTCTCCTAAATAGTAAAAAGGATTAAGGCCCCAAATAAAAGATATAGGCCAACGTGAGTGAAACAAAAGCATGGTGACATACTGTCACCCATGTTACCCCAGCCACCCTTGCTTGACATCTTTCTGGCTAGCTCCCGTTGAAGGCCACTGGGGTAACCCAAACCCTCGGAGACCCAGACAGAGGATTTGATCACTTCAGCTCTATACATAAGTACTGGGCGGATAACCGAATCTCTGTAAATGTTCAAAGACCTGACCTACAAATTACGAGCTTTATAAAGGCAGACAGCCAATATTACATAAGAAAGTGTACGGCTTTCATTCCCCTGAAATATATTTATGATTTTTAATCAAAGGAAAATATTGAAATCTTTAAATGTATTCCGTCTTTCTCCCTTCCTACCCTCCCCACCCTCCCATGATCACAACCTCACCATTCACATCCCCAAGTGAAAGGACTTCCTTCGTTTCAATCAGTGTTGCTCAAGCAGGTGCTCTTTTGCTTCCCAGAGCACAGGTGGCAATATCTAGAGGCATTTGGGGGGAGAGGGTGCAAGTGAGAAAGTGCTCCTGGCATCTAATGGGTAAAAATCAGCGTTGCTGCTAAACATCCTATAGTACGCCCAGAACAGCCCCACAACCCGCAATTACCCAGTCAAAAATGCCCATAATGACAAGGTTGAGAAACCTTGGTTTAAAAGAGCATGAAGTTGGAAAAGACTTGATTTAAGAGCACATACTGCAAGGGGGTCTGCCTCTTGCTGTGCGTCAGGGTGTCTAGCAGGCAGTGGGTGTGGAGGGACGACATGGAGCAGAGATTTTCCTTTAAGCAGGGGCCCACCATGCAGCCTGAGTCCTTCACTGGCCACCCTCCCTGACTATAACACAAATCTGAGCAGGAGCTTCGAGAGCAGTGCCAAAGATTAACATCAGGGATTTTGAATTCCAGTCTCTGTTACTACATGTTGAGGAACTGGAAGAACACGACTTGACCTGGCTTCCCAATTTCAGCCTCCCCTTTATGTCCTGTAAAACGTTAGCTGGGAAACCTGAGCAAACATGTATTTAGTATAAAGCCTCGGACATGGACTTGGAAAGAGCCAGCTGGCCTTGGCACTATGTTAGGAACATTTTTGCCCAAGATAAAAGGCAGATTTAAAACAATCTCATACTCCACCTGAATGTTCCCGTTCCCACCTCTCTTCTCCCTTTGGTACACTGTAATTTCTGCCCCCCCCCCCATCCCATCAGTCCCCAAATACTTTTCTACTCACCAGCATTTTCTATTAAGGAAATACATCAAACCAATGATAAAGGGTGTTTGCCTGACTCACATACAAGGGCTTTTTCTAGACGGTGCCCACCTGTTTCTATAGACATAGGGCAGGGTATTAAAGCAGAGGGACCTCAGTCTTAGGAAAACAGTCCTTAATTCTTTGGCTGCACTTCCCCTATAATCATTTGTTAAAACCTCCAAAGAACAAGTTACTTTTAAATGGCATAAAGACAGTTGTAAAACAGTTACTCACATGCTTCTACTTTTGAATAAGGGAGACGGGAGAGGTTCTAGTGTTAAAT